TCAAAATAATGTTTATAACGAGAAATAATCGATAGAAACTGATCTATGAAAACACAATAACGCTTATGATTTGATAATGAATCGATGATTCAACCCTTTTTTGTTGTAGACTACTTATATTATATTCAATATTGTTTGAATAAAAAACTAAATTATCTTTGTCCTAATTCAATAGATGCTTTTGTTTTATTTTCATTGTCGAAATTTATTACCATGCGAATTATAATAAACAGTACCCGATCTAAGTAGAAAGCAAAAGGATAAAAAAGAGAACCTTCACACAACTGCAATGCATTCATATATTTGATAATAGTTGTTAAACAAATGGATCTATTATCCGAAGATAATTCTTTATCATAGACTGAAATCAAACTTGCTCTTCAATAAATACGAACCTATATCCGTCTTGATCAACTTGGATGTGTCTTCAACAAATATAAAGATCGATAGAACGATGTATTTCTATGGGGAGATGAGGTAATAGATTATTCAAGTATTTAGTTATTTCATTCTTATGTTTTTTTTTGTTTTGTCAAGGTTGAATTAACATTAGTTATATTTGATCATAAAAATAAAAATGTTCGATTATTATTACCAATTTTAAGTGAATTAAACAAGAGAATTGATGATGACTATATATTTTATATAAATATAAATTATATGTATCATATATTTATATTGAAATATTCAAAGAGCATGTCGTATAACTTGGCATCCTGATGGATGTAATTTTGTTATTGAAGGTATACCATTCCAACCTTATGACTTTTCATTATCTTATTTTAATACAGTCGAAGCAAATATGAGAAAGACTAAGAAGAAAACAAGCACAACGAATTTTATTTGAACAAACCGATTGTCCATATATTTTAAATATTTCTGCTTTTTCATGGTATTAATTAAATATTTTTATTCTTGTTTTTTTATTGATCTTTTCATTTTCTTATAATGAGTAATGAAAAAAATTTTCATTTATTTGAAGGAACCTGCAAATATTGCAAAAATACGAAATTAAAATTTGAATTTCGTTTTCTTTTTGAATATGAATTCAAAATTTTTGTAAGAAATTAAAGGGTAAATTATTTTCTACAAAATGACTTTAAACAAACTAATCATAAATATACTTTTTTTATTAAGAATTATATCCTGCATTTCAAATGATTTTTTCTTCTACTTTGAGAATTTTTTATCGAACTAAAATTTATCGAAGCTACATTGATGAACCTTTAAAAGAATAGGTCATACATTCGAAACTAGAAGTTCTACAAAAATATTAAACTCATATACAAACGGAATATAAAATTCTTATTGTACTCTAATGTTTTTATATTTTTTCTATCTTTTTAAAACGATTAAAAATGAATGAACATATTTTCTATTTTTTTTTTGTTAATCATGCATTGACAAAATATGGACAAGGACAAAATACACATATTCATCAATTAAATATGGTCTTTCATATTCCGTTGAAAAATCTTTATGTTATCCCGATAGACTTATATCATCTCATCATCTAAGAATGAACTAAAATCAAATATTCTTGTTTCTTTTATGAAAATTTGTTGTATCGAAAGATTTTTATCAACAAATATGAGTGAACGGCGTCAATCTAAAGTATCAATTAATATTCCAAGGAAGTTTTGTTTAAATAATTTATTAGCTAAACTAAATACAAATACAAACTATAAAATATATCATTTGTTAGAAGATAATCAAATAAAAACAAAATCTTCAGTAAATTATTGATGAATCTTCTATTCATATGTAATTCATTGATGTATCTTGAAATAATCATCATATTAATAATTAGTCATGAATAAATATTTATTTCAAAGATAAAACATTTTCATTCTAATTGAAAATAATTACATAAAATCAAACAAACATATGAATAACCCTCGAATTTTATTCTCTTTTAATACACATTCAAAGAATTATTTTTATCTATCATGTAATTAATAATAAAAATGACTCATCATTTATTTCAACCAAAAAGGAAAATGAATTTTCTAAAATCTCTATAGAATTTATCTTAATGTCACATATAGTCTTTAGTGTGCAATAATGTATAATGGATACTGATTTTTTTCAATCTATGTATAACTTAGCTAATATGTACTTAAGGCCATCCCCACCCCCACCCCTCAAAAATGGATCTCAGCCCAGGAACATTCAAATGAGATGAAAATTTCAGGATATGCTGGGGCGGGTGAAACATGGCTGTGGTCAAATTTTCAGCCCCATAGCACGATGTTTAACCGAGATATGCACCAAACAAGGGTCAAAAATAACTCTTTAGTATCTCCAAGTTTTCTCTGTGAGTCTTCATTCTAGACATTTCATTTTTTTTGTTTCAAAGAGCATGTCAGAATGCAGTGACTCTCGTGGCTCTTATTTTTTAAGTCTTACTTTTTAGGGGAAAAACCCGGAGCGACAGTTCAATGACTCAAAAAACCTCTCTAAAAATTGCGCTGCTCCGATATAGAGGTTATCTTCTATGATAATAAAAAAGCTTATTT